TTTATATTATATATAATTATAAATATAAAAGGATTATAAAGAAGCTAGTCTTGAGGACTACAATGTTGAAGATGTGGAATTTAAAAGAAAAAAAATGGAAGGAGAGGACATGAATAAAATCTATCATCAGTGCTGACCCTGTAGCCTAGTGGTAAAGGGAGGCAAATCCCATGTGACCACTCGCAGTTCAAATCCTGGCCCCAGGGAGCTTGAAAAGCATGCCAGGCATATGTGTGAGTATGCCCAAAATCTCAACAAAGAGGAGAAATGGAGGAGAAGGTATTGTGGTGTGATCATGCTTTTGTGGGAATGCTTTCTCCTCTCTCTGGTGAGCACATGGGCCCTCTGGATTAAATGCATACATACATACATAAATAAATGGTAACTCTACTAATTAAGTACTCAGTATGCTATGATACACACCACCACACCTTTTATTATTGCTTGCCTGTTGTAGTAATAAAATCAGGAGCTGTTTGTTGCGCATATAGGGCAAGCCAGGAATTGTTGCAGGAATTAGAACTAAGATAAAATATTCTCGCTGGTTCCTCTCTGGTCCTTCCAGCGTCGCCGGAGTGAGTTGATCTGGGAGTTAAAGGGGGCTGCAAAGGTGGGAAGTGAAGTCAGTGCCTGGTCAGTGCCCCGTTCTTTCATCACACACACACAGAAGAAATACTGCGGTGAATGAAGATTACTCTGCATTTTAGCACTGCGTTTTCTACTGTAGTTGGCTTTTGAATGAAGATGACAATGGAAGAGATGAAGAATGAAGCTGAGACCACTTGCATGGTGTCTATGCCCCTCTATGCAGTCATGTATCCTGTGTTTATTGAGCTAGAACAAGTAAATCTGCAGTTTAGATGCTGAGAGCCGCATTCACTTAAGGCTGTAGAGGAAAATCCAGGTCTCACACAAGATATCATAGTGAAACTTTTAGGAAAAAAAAAAAGTGTACAAGTTAACTTCACAGAGTTCCTTCTTTATATGGCAGCTGATGATGTAGAAGAGTATATGATTGAACGCCCAGAGCCAGAATTCCAGGTCCTAAATGAAAAGGCATGAGCACTTAAACAAATTCTCAGTAAGATCCCAGATGAGATCAATGACAGAGTGAGGTTTCTGCAGACAATCAAGGATATAGCTAGGCAATATAAGAACTTCTTGATGCAGTGAATAATGTCTTCAAGAAATATCAATACCAGAATCACAGGGCACTTGCACACCAAAAGAAAGAATGTGTAAAGTACTCCAAAAATTTCAGGGATACTCTGAAAACATATTTTAAAGATGGCAAGGAAATAAATGTGTTTGTAAGTGCCAAACTTACTAATTCATCAAACCAACTTGATACTTCAGGCCTTCAAAACTGGGGCCTGAAAGTTGTATATGTTCAGAGATACACCTCTCAGTGGCAGCTGAAATTTGAAGTTTGTACAAATTACCAATTTCTCCTGATGGGGTCTAATCCAGGATGTTGAATGGCATTATTGCCATTTTACACCATATTTTTGTAAAATGTAGCTTAATCATAACCTCACACTGAAGATTTTGCATCACTTTTTCCATAATCATTCTTTTAAGAATTATAAGCCAAAAGAATTTACACCTTAATGTGTCATTATATAACATTCCTTAAAAGAATTGTAAATATTGGTGTTTGTTTCTGACATTTTAACTTGAAAGCCATATGCTGCAAGATAATGTATTTAACAATAGTTGGTGGCAAATATTCAATAAATAGTTTACATCTGTTAAACATTACTTGAAAAATGCATGTGAGTGTGTGAGTGTGTGAGTGTGTGTGTGTGTGTGTGTGTATGATCAGAAGATCAAGACAACTTGGTATAATGTTCTAAAGAACTTCAAACGGGAGTTTATTAATAGTTTATCAAATAATAAAGCAACAAAGAATTCCTATTTTTTTGTCCTTAATCATTTTGGGCAAAAGGTAGACAATGAAAATATTTTCATTAGTTATAACAGATGAAGTACTGAATAATTTTCCATTATTCCCATCCCCTTTTAAGAGACATATGAGAAAGAGATAGCAATTCATAGTGTCTTCATGCTATAATACCACTTTTTGAACTCTGTAACGATACAGATTTTGCTCTGAGAAATTAAATCTATCTAGTGTGCTGAGCCCTGGTAAGCTTTGCACATTTTCTGCAAAAATAGCTACAAGTAATAGTAATTTGAAGATATACTAGTAGTTGACTTCAAATTGTCACTAGTGTTTAATATTCTACACACCAAATATGGACAGTTGTGTTCACCATAGAGAAACTTAAAGAGAATTATGTATCAAGTGTTCATGTTAAGTGATTTCATTTTTTAATTATAAAATAAAGGAAAATATCAAAAAAATTCTCTTGGGAACCAGCAGTTAGTGTAATGGCTATGTCGCTGGACTCCCACGTAGTTGACTGTGGTTCGTGTCCCGGACCCGGGGGCTTAAAACACGCCGGGCGCGTGTGCGTGCGTGCCCAAGATCCCGAGAGGAGAATGGAGGAGAAGGGATTGCAGCGTGACCATCCCCCCTGTGGGGGGTGATTTCTCACTTTCTGTCTCTATGTCTCTCTCTGTCTGTCTGGCGAGCGCACACGCCCTATAGTGAAAATCTCTCCAAAAAAAAAAAAAATTATCTTTGCTCTTCAATTACTAAGGGAGAAATAAGCTGATAATCTATGAAGGATCAATAGAAGTAACATGAATTTAGGTAGCTGCAGTTCCAATATAAAATGCATTCCAGATTTTTAAATTCAGAATGTGTTTTTAAAAAATAATAAATCTTTAAGCTTGGGCTTCTTGGATTCCCCCCTCCCCCCGTTTTCTATTTATTTTTTATACATTCAACATTGTATACTATTACAGCTTGTAATGAATTTTCCCAGCATGAAAACACTATACTTAGTCCAGTTAAAGGTATTATCATACATTAATTATCATACAGGTAATTTTCCATTTTTGTATCCCTTCAACGTTTTACTCCTTTCTTTTCCCCCTTGATTCCCTTCCTTTCGCTCTCCCCCATTCTCTTAGTGCCAGGGATTCAGAGTAAATTGACTAGGCATAAAACGAAAGAGATTTGGGTGCCAGCTGGTAGAGCGATGATTAAGGCATTTGGATACTACATGACCAACTGCATGATTCATGTCCTGGACCTGGTAACTTGAGAAACATGCCAAAATTCTTACAGGAGGAATGGAGAAAAAATTAGGTTGTGGCCATCCCCACAGTGGGGTGCTTTCTCACTGTCCCACTCTCTCTCCCTCTGTCTCTTTTTGTGTGTGTCTCCATCTCTTCGGAGGGCACACGCACCCTCTGGCAAATTGAAAAAAAAAAAAAAAACCAGAAAAGAAAAGAAAAAGATTTGGGTAAACTTAATCTACTGAGAGGATTTCTCCAGGCCCCTCTCCACTCCCAGGTCTGCCTAATTTCAATGGAAATGCTAACAGCCTCCTGATGGCACACACACATACCAACAGCTTTCTCATCCATCATAAAGAAATCAGGAGATAGGCTCAAGTTTGATATTTTTCCTCCATTTTTTTTTTCTCTCTCCTAAGACTTTTTTTTTAATAATTATTTTTATTTAACACTATTTATTTATTTTAATTTGACCAGAGAAGGGCAGAGTGAGAGAGAGAGAAAGAGGGAAAGTGAGAAAGCAAAGCTTCCAGGTCCATGACTTGAACCACAGTCAACCTTGTTGGGAGTCCCGCGCCCTTAATCACCACACCACCTGCCAGCCCCATGAAACTTTGTTTTTAAAAACTTGTAATACTCTGTTTTCACCTTAGTTCCAGGTTCTATTCTTGTGTACCTATTTCCCTTGTTCTTGATGGTTCCCACTTAGTTTCTCGCAGAGTACGTATTCTGGAAACAAAATGGATACATGTACTAGGCTTTGATTTGGAGAGGAATGCCCTCTTGATAACTTCATGTGCACATAAATACGTAACTGAAAATGTGTATGCATATGTTCAGTTACTTAAGACTATACATTTCCGTTGATAGGTAAACTGTGGACGAGAAGTATGAAGGTTGCTTACAACATCCTGCATAAATTAGGTACAAAGCAGGAACCTATGGTGCGACCTGGAGACAGGGTAAGTGCTATCTAAATTACTGGGTCTAAAGAGTACATATTCTTATGTGCAAAGAGATACCTACTGTTTAAAACACACGACAAAACAAAAAACCCTTGTGTTTTAAAATTTTAGTGTTCAGCCTCCCCTCCTGCTCCTAAGGCTTTCTTCACATTACTGTGAACTAGAAGCAATTAAATGCAGTGTCATTTAATCCTCACAGCAACTCCACCACATTGTAGTATTTCTCTCACTTTATGCATGAGGACCCCTAGGCTTAGAGAGAAGGTAAGTTATGGGATAAAAGGGGTGGAGCACGTAATTAATTGGCACGGCCAGCCCCCCCCCCCATGTTCTCAACCACCGTCATTCTCTGTCTCATAGTTTGAAATACACTGACATCATCTACTTCGGCAGGCAGGACAGTTATATTTGCAGCATTTTTCACATTGGTCATCTAGACAGACCATCTTGGCAGCTAGCTATTCCTTACCCTGAGTGAGATTATTACCTTCCTTTGGAAAGCAAATTTCTGTTTTGTTCTTAATGCCTGGTAAATTATGGAGGAGAGGTGAGAAGTATTAGTATTTCCATTTAATGTTACACCCTGACTAATTAATAATCGTGTCCAAGCTTTATACCCTACATCTAAATAATGTGGAACGTAGTACAGAACCCAATATTCTTGCTTTCAAATATCATGCCTTGTTGGGACCAGCAGTTAGTGTAATGGCTATGTCGCTGGACTCACATGTGGTCAACTGCAGTTTGCGTCCTGGACCCGGTGGCTTAAAAATCACGCTGGGCACATGTGCTTGCGTGCCCAAGATCCCAAGAGGAGAATGGAGGAGAAGGGATTGCGTCATCGCCATCCCCCCTGGGGGGATGATTTCTCGCTTTCTGTTTCTCTGTCTCTGTTTGGTGAGCGCACGTGCCCTATAGCAAAAACCTCTCCAAAAAAGAAAAAAAATAAATAACCATGCCTTGTTTGTCCTACATACTCCTATGTATCGTAGATATCCTAAACCTGGATTATCCTACCCAAATGAATTGTATAAACGCATTTTAGAGCACCATAAATCCACAATAACACAAGTCTTGATTTTACTTAAAAGATGTTACAGAGATGTGGACCTGTTACAAAGAATTTTTTTTTTTTTTTGGAGAGGTTTTCGCTATGGGGTGCGTGTGCTTGCCAAACAGAGAGAGAGAGAGACAGCGAGAAATCACCCCCCAGGGGGGATGGTCATGCCGCAATTCCTTCTCCTCCATTCTCCTCTCAGGATCTTGGGCAGTTCCACTCACGCGCTTGGGGTGAGTTTTAAGCCACCGGGTCTGGGATGTGAACCGTGGTCGACTACGTGGGAGTCCAGTGACATAGCCATTACGCTAACTGCTGGTCCCCTTACAAAGAATTTTTAAGAGATTTCTGTATCCCCTGGAAGCTTCGTGGACTATGATTCTCTCCAATTTTTTATGAAACAAGTTTGGCCTCTGAGGTTTTGTTTTGCTTTGTTTTGTTTTGTTTTTTTCAAGAGAGATTTTTGCTATAGGGTGCATGCACTCACTGGAGAGACAGAGACAGGAAGTAAGAAATCATCCTCAAGGAGAAATGGCCATGCTACAATCCCTTTTCCTCCATTCTCTTCTTGGGATCTTGGGCACGCATGCACACACATCTGGCATGATCTTTAAGCCACTGGGTCTGGGACTTGAACCATGGTTTACTACATGAGAGTCCAGCAACATAACCATTATGCCAACAACGGGTCCCTGGCCTTTGGTTTTAAAAGTAAATTGTAGGTGTCATGCTCCCTGATTATAAAATCTACTTACAAAGTGATAATTATCACAACAGTGGGATATTAGCATAAAGAGACATACAGACCAATAGAATAAAATAGCAACCTCAGAAGTAAACACCTATGTATATGGTCAAGGAATTTTCAACAGATAAACCACAACATCAGGTGAAAGGACAGTCTATTCAATAAATAGTGTTGGGAGCGGCTGCCAACAGGCAAGAGAATGAAGTTGACCCTTGCCTAATACCATATACAAAAAAATGGGGCCAGCAGATGGCATTAGTGATCACGTTGCTGGACTCCAACATAGCTGACCACAGTTCGAGTCCCAGAGCCGGTGGCTTAAAACACTGTGTGTGTGTGTGCACGCGCACGTGCGCTCCCCAACCAACCCACCCATGATCCCATAATGAGAATAGAGAAGGGATTGTAGAGTCACTATCCCCCTGGGGGGTGATTTCTCTCTTTAAAAAAAAATCTTTCCCTCTCACCCTTTCTGTCTCTGTCTCTCTCTGGTGAGCGCACATACTTTAAGGCAAAAACTTCTTTAAAAAAAATGAGCATAGAATTTCCATTTAATTCAACAATTCCATTACTGGGTATATATACCCAAAAGGAATAAAAGCATGGTCTCCAACAGTAGTTGTTTAACTATGTTCATAGCAGCATTATTCCTGATAGCCAAAGGGTGGAAGCAACCCACACGTTCACTGATGGATGAATGGATAAACAAAATTGACAAATATATACAATGAAACATTAGTCTTTAAAAGGAAAGAAAAATTCTAGAGACCAGTAGTTAGTGTAATGGCTATGTCGCTGGACTCCCATGTAGTCGACCGGGGTTCGAGTCCCAGACCCAGTGGCTTAAACTCACACCGGGCGCGTGTGCGTGCATGCCCAAGATCCCAAGAGAAGAATGGAAGAGAAGGGATTGCGGCATGACCATCCCCCCCGGGGGGTGATTTCTCGCTTTCTGTCTCTCTGTCTCTCTCTGTCTGGCGAGCGCACGTGCCCTATAGCAAAAACCTCTCAAAAAAAAAAAAAAAAGGAAAGAAAAATTCTGATACAGGGTACATGGATGGACCTTGATGATATAAATGAAATAAGTCAGGCACAAAAGGACTTATATGAGGTACCAAAGATAGGCAGGTTCCTAAAGGTAAAAAGTATAGTGGTGGTTGCTTGGTTATCAAGGTTATTGTATAATGGAAACAGAGTTTCAGTTTGGGAAGATAATCAAGTGCTAAAGATGGATTTTGTGATGGTTGTACCCAGTATTGTTGTGCTTAATGCTACTAAAGTATACATTTAAAATAGCTAAAATTATAAATTTTCTGTTATGTATAACTTACCACAATAAAGAAAAAGCCAATTTTAATGTAATATCTGTATACCTAGAATTGAATTTAGTCTGTTTTTGAAGAAATTTATTTTATTATGTCTTCCAGTTTCTTGGGGGCCATTAATAACCTTCAAATAAACCTTCTGTGTTCATTTGAGGTATCAATAGGAGTGTGAGAGATAGAGTTTTGATAGGCTGCAATATGGCAGAAGATTTTTTTTGCAGGAGTTTGATCTGGGGGAGGGTGCAATTTTTTTTCTAAATGTTTTTCTGAAAAAAAAAAGACTCTTCATGTACCTAGCATCTGGCACATGTATATGAATGTTTATTAAATAAGCACACATGAATACAGTAATGATAATGACCTTCTACAGCAATATAGGAGGATTTTTTTATCCTCTTTGAAAATAATTTTTCAGTAAAATATCATTTTCTCCAGAATAATGAGTGCTCAGTCTTCAGCATAAAAAAATAGGTTCCCTGTGGATGACTGCTGATGCACTTTGGGGAGTACCTTCTTGTGCTTTAGAAGAGGCCTCTAGCTAAAAGGTGTTTCAGCATATTGTCCTAGGAGCTACAATTGATAGAAAGAGGCACCGTACGTGAAGCCTGCCTTTAAGAAGCTTGTAATTTTTTTCTCAAACAAACTATGAGGACACATTGATAATTAGTTTTTATGTACATTGGAATGTTGTAAAGGTCCCCAAAAGAGATTGTAAGAGAGAGAGCTGAACTCTTCAGGAAGCAGGGAGAGCATTTTCATTTGGGAGAGTAGCTGAGGTCTCAGAGCTCTTCTCAGAGAGAAGAACGAAGCCTGGGGTTCTTGTTCCAGTATCCCAGGACAGAGTGAAAAGGCACTGACATGGCGAGTCTGTGATGGGAAAAGGGAAGTACATTCGTTCCCTTGGACAGTAGGGCTGGGTTCATGCGCTTGGGAAGGGTCACTGAGGAGGAGGATGACAATTTAACATAGGAGGCCCCAGCAGGGCATTGGAGCATGGGCTTTGGCTCTGCTGTTGATGCCTGTTCTGCTCTGTGAGTAATTGGGTGTGGTGACAGAGTAAAGGAATACAAGAGATAAATGAAAGGAAGCCATGTGGATTTATAAAAGTTAAACACCTGAGGGCTGGCTTTGTGGAACGGCAGTGATGCACTGCTCACGAGAAGCTGGATCCTACATGGCAACTGCAGTTCAAATCCCTGGCCTGGCCTGCCTGAACCATGCCAGGTACATGGACAAAGGTCCACAATCTGACAGCAGGAGGACTGGAGGGAGGTGATCATGGCACGACCAGATTCTGTGAAGAGAACTTCTCTCTCCCCCTTTCTCACATGCATACACTATCATTAAATTTTTTTTAATTAAGCATCTGAATATGTTTATAGTATTGTTCTGGATCACTGTGAAGTCACCAGTAAAACAGGATTCATATATTAAAAACCAAATGAAAATGATGCATGTACAGTTTTCCTTTTAAAAATTCAGTTTTGATTGTGATAGTTTCACAATCTTTTTGTTTAAGATTTTTTGCCATAGGGCATGTAGAGAAAGACAAAGACAGAGGGAAAGTGAGAAATCAACCTCCACAAGGAATGACCATATCACAGTCCCTTCTCCTCCTTGGATACTAAGCACGCATGCATATACACTCCTAGTGATTCTCAAGCTCCTAGATCCAGTACTTGAACTGTAGTCAGCCATGCAGAAGTTCAGCATCTTAACCACAATGCCACTTGCTGGACTGTGAAAGAGTCTTTAAACATCTGACCCTTTTCTATCCTTTCTTTTTTTTTTTTTTTCCCCCTGAGAGATTTTGCTTTAGAGCACATATACTTGCCAGAGAGAGAGAGAGGGAAACAGACAAAAAGCAAGAAATCACCCCCCCCAGAGGGGACGGTCACACCACAATCCCTTCTTCTCTACTCTCCTCCTGAAATTCTGGGCACCACACACACACACACATGAGCCCAGTGTGAGTTTCAGGCCGCTGGGTCCAGGACTCAAACCACAGTCAGCCATGTGGAAGTCTAATGCCCTAACCACTACAATACTTGTCGGCCCTGGGACCAGCAGTTAGCATAATGGCTATGTTACTGGACTCCCATGTAGTCGACTGCAGTTCGCGTCCCGGACCTGGTGACTTAAAACTCACGCCGGGCGCCTGTGCGTGCATGCCGAAGATCCTGAGAGGAAAATGGAGAAGGAATTGCAGCGTGCCTATCCCCCCAGGGGGTGATTTCTCGCTTTCAGTCTCTCTGTCTCTCTGGCGAGCGCACACGCCCTATAACAAAAAAAAAAAAAAAACTTTCCAAAACATAAAAAGAATTAAAAAAAAAAAGAACCTGTCGGCCCCCATCCATTATTTTTATATTGCTGAGAGCACACAATAATGTAATATTTCATATTCTGCTTTATATTCACATTACATAGTAATATTTTATTTCTTTTTTTTATTTTTTTTAATTTGCTGGAGGGTATATGCATGAGAGAGAGAGAAAAAGCACCCTCTATGGAAAATGTGCATGCCCAAAATCCTGAAAGGAGAATGGAGGAGAAGGCATTGTGTCATGGCCATCCCCCCTTGAGGGTGATTTCTCACTGTTTGTCTCTCTAGCAAGTGCACACTATAGAAAAAGTCTCTCTCAAAACATAAATAAATAGGGAGCCAGCAGTTAGCGTAATGTCTTATGTCGCTGGACTCCCACGTAGTCGACCACGGTTCGTGTCCCGGACCCAGTGGCTTAAAACTCA